CCATAGCGCCATAGCGCCATAGCGCCATAGCGCCTTAGTTCCTTAGCAGCAGGCAACCCCCATAACCATCCCAATAGTGCACTCTGCACTAAAAATGATACCCTATTCTAGACCCAAACGCTCTGATTCATATAACCTATGCTAGAGTAAACTGCTTGAAAACTATACCCTTCACAGCGGCACATACCTATATAGCCCATATATGGCAGTAACCCCCCTCCCGGAATACACGTTAGCTTGAAGATATGAAATGATATTTTACCCTCCCTGTCCTCGTTCATAAAATATTGTTCTTACCACTCGAAAATAAAAATTAGTATCTTCGCGCCGCCATGTAATATCTTCTATATATGTAACGGGCAGTTTCTGTGTGCCCTGATCTGCTGGTCACGAGTGCTGTTTTCTTTTCAGAACAGCAAGCTTACCCCCATTTTGATTCATGAATTCCAGCAGCGTTTGTATAGCGGCTACAGCCGTCGACATGCCCGGATCGTCAACCATGCACTTTTTAAAGAACGCTAGAGCCTCTGAGAATACAAAACAAATGAATAGTGAGTAACACTAACTCATTTGACTGCAAACAATCGTCAGCCAGCTGACCTTCGTTCTCCATCTTGTTTCGTTTTCTTTAAGAGGTATACCGCTGGAAAGCTCGATGGCTCACTACAATTTCCCTCCCCCTGGATGGGCTCCCTTGGGATCATGTTGTCACGCATTGACGTTGTCTTTCACATGCTACCCATGATAGCTTGGGCGTAGAGAATTCTTTTTTGACCGTATTCCTGTTAGGAGGGAGAGAAAATAAGGAAATTTTTTCATGCGGCCCACCCGAGTTCATGAAACGGCGAGTTTCGTGGATTATTGCGGCAATACCTGCCCATGGTAGTGCGAGAGGACTGAGCTGAGGATAAGGCGCTTTTACGATATACTTTGGTACTGATTTTACTGACTTACATTACTAGTGACTTGCAGAGTATGATGGAGAGGGAGTCGTCTTCGCTTCTTTATTTTTAAGCTCTCGTACGCGATCACTCAAACTAGTGTCTACTTCGTATAACACACAGACTAGGACTGTACACCAATCCCTAAGGAGCCACGAAATCAATTGCAAAATCGCATGGTTGGAGTCTGGTGGGAAAGTGAAGACAATGAACATTGTAGCTCCAGTTTTGTTTGCTTTCGTACTCCTTTCTTTCTTCTTCCTCCTTCATTCCTTTTTTAGCTCTCTACTGAATTTGTTCCTTTCTCCTTTCCTATCATCGTCCTTATCAGTTTCTTCTCACCTGGCCTTTATGCTTTCTTCCTCTTCCTTCTCGCTTTATTCCATCTACCGTTCTTCTCTCTCCACTACCTTTTTCCCTGTTTCCTTTCTTTCTTCAATCTTTTCTTTCTACTTCTTCTTCTTCTTGCCTTGTGACGACAGCAGATTTGTCCGCGTGACATCATTATCCGGCTTGTCGCGTCAAGAGACTTCTTCGTTGTAACTGATCGTCTGTTGAAGGTCAGGTCAGTGTTATTTGCATATATCTAATACATTTGGATTGAATAGTTGAGCTGTGTACACGAACCTGAGAAAACCTATCACTGCTTTCCAAGGACGGCGGGGGAGCTGAGAATCATTATTTTGAGTTGTCATAACAAAAGAGTTTTAAAATGTCGGCTGCGAAAGAAGATCCTACAGAGTTGGGAATAGAGAGGCCAAAATCGAGGAAATCGCACGAATTTGACGATATTTTGGACATGGTTGGAGGCTTTGGTCGTTATACATTCGCCCTGTATGCATTCATGTGTGTCATGTCCCTACCGATCGGCTTACAGCAACTCGTTCAAGTTTTCTACGGCGCCACTCCGAAGTATTCGTGTGTTTCCTTTTCATCTCCCAACAACGCCACTTGTTCAGAAACTACAAACTGCTGTCCCAACTGCGTCAAGTACGAATTCCAAGCTGGGATGACGAGCGCTGTAACCGAAGTAAGGATGATACTATAAAACATTGTCTTTCAATTTCCATACTGATCACTGAAACAATGGATTTTAATGAATACTAGATTTCAATTCTTCTTTAATATATGCTCGATGTTGGTTTAGTATAATAACCTGAAAGTTACTTTGAAAGTTGTAAACTCGATATCAGACCACATTTCTAGGATACCGCAAGGATTTGTGACTAATTATTATCGACGGTGCAGATCGAGTTACCATTTCCCGTTTCAGTTGTGGTTGAGTTGAGGTCCCCTGTTTTGTAAGTCAAATGAGTCTGTGAGTAGAGAGTCGATGAGTCATAGTTCAAACTGCACACCGGTTAACCAGAATAGCGTTTCGTTCAGCCATTCGTTCCGATTTAGGGTAAATAGCAGTTTAGGCTACCGTTCAGCCTGAATAACGCTCAGGTTAGCTTGTTAATGGTAATGCTTTTCCGGCGTATACTTGAAAGAGCTATCGATTCACGCGTGATTGATGACTCATTTGACTTATTGAGGTCTATTGATGTTTGCTTTACGTGAACTAAATGCGAGGCGGTTTGGGATCAGTGCAAAGTGGTCTGGTCCATGTAGCGAATTCGGGGGTCCGTCCGAAGGGGTAGTTGTTTGGACGGTTGCTATGGAAACCACTTCCTCAGCTAGGCCCTTTGCATCAAGGCACACTAATGAAAAGTCAGTGGGGTAAGAAGTAAGGTGTAGTAAAGGAAGAAGGAGGTGAGGAGACAGAGGAAGGCGTAGAGAACGAACGCAGCGATCTAGCAACAAGTCCTAAGCAGCCTGACCGCTGGTCCACCAATCATTAACAACTTCTTTCAACGAACTTGAGGCCGTTAAATGCTTTAGAAACTTTTCAGTTCTTAAGTCGTGTGACACAAATTTTCATTTCATGCAGGAAGATAGTTTTGAGATGCGTCGTATCAGGATCTTAGATCATTCGTTCTGTGGCAAACAGCGTTTCCTTATCGATTCATTTCCTTGTTGCGTTTGCTGTCACGTAGATTACCTCTCGTCTCTCACCGAGTAGAAAGAGAAGGGAATCTCTGTCTCGCAGGGTACTGTCACGCGAGGACTGTATATGAGATTAATCTTAATAAGGTTACTTTTCAATTGATAGTAGGGAATTCCTGCGTAACCTAACTTCCCAACTTCCTCTATATTGCAGAGTCAAAAACCACAAACAGTCATTTTTCGTTGGCTTTGCAAGCGTATGCATGTAGCCAAATATCTACAATATTAGGAGATAAAAGAGGTTTGGAAGAAGCAAGATTTTGAACACTTTTGAAAGTGAAATACCAACTAACCCCTGCCCCGCCAAAAAAAACATCGCTCCTTTGACAGTCACGCAAGAACAGAAAAACTTTTGATCACCTCTCCTTGCCCAGTGGACACTGGGTAGTGATTTCGTCCACCCAACCTGGCCCCTTTTACGTTTGAGATGCCATTTAGTAAAGACCTAGTTATTCTGTCAGTCACGACCCGAGTATCGTTCCACCAACTCATATAATTGTATTCTTTTCTACCTGTTACTCATCCTAGTGGGATCTGATATGCAGCAGAAAACCTTTGAAGGCCATGACGCAGTCAATTTACATGGCGGGTCTGTTGGTGGGCTCAGTGGCCATTAGTACCCTGTCAGATCACTTTGGTCGAAAGATCAGTGTTTTCCTCAGTATATTTTTCATGGTGAGTAACAACTTCCACACCGAGGCACTTGCCTCAGTCATTGGTGCACGCCGGTTTTTGCCGGTTGTAGTCACCATAAACACCCGTGATACCCAGGAATAGAATTTTTTTTTTAGAATTAACCATGGAAATTGCATCAGTCATATTTTTTTCTGGCTACTGAGTAGTACGTTCACTTTTGTTTTTCCATTGTTTGTTTGTTTTTATGTGTTTTTTAGGCACTGACTAGCTGATCAGGGAAAACTTAGTATATTTTGTATTTCGACCAGTTTTGAGATTGCATACACCATTTTAACTCTTAACCATAGCTAACGAGCACGCAATGAGCTCAGGGATAGATAGGTCTCTTCTTGTTATGCTCGTTATGATAGTTGATAGACCCTCTAAACAGTTGCTGAATGTCATATTTGGGTGCTGTCTATTAGTGGAGAGAGCTTAATAATCGAAGTGGAGTGCACTTAAGTGAAACCAGGCTAATTAGGGGCGAGGGGAGCTGGTAAGAGAATGAGGCCTCATGTCAGTTCAGGCTAGCCTTGCTGCTGTTTTCTTGCGCTCGAGCTTCGTTGTTCTGGAAAAGGGTTTCTGCGGGTACTCTGGTTGCAGCGCATGCATGGTTAGCACGGATTGAATCTTATTTGTAGTTTCACTCTAGCAGTGTTAAAGAACTACTAAATCCCGAAAGAATCTTTACTATCATGCATTGTGTTATTTTTCAGGCGGTTTGTGGAACAGTGTCGGCTGTATCGGATTGCCTTTCCTTGTTTTCGTTGTTCCGTTTCGGAGCTGGTGTGGCCACGGCGGGCTGTCTTCTCGTTCGATTTGTCTATTGCATGGAGATCATTCACATCAACTCGCGGACTGCCGCAGGAATAGTTAATAACATCTTTGTTAGTATTGGTTTTTCGACCCTGTCTCTACTGGGTTATTTCATACGTGATTGGAGATATCTAATGCTGGCTGTGTCTATACCTGGTGCGCCATTGCTGCTCTGTTGGTGGTAAGTACTTTTTCTTTCCTTGATTGGATAATGCTCCTTGCCTGGAGATTATTTTGGATGCTTTTCCTTTTCAGTAAACCCTATCCTCATTCTATTAAACAATTAGATTATGAGCTCGAGATTTCTTTCGCGAGATAGTTAATAATCTAATCGTTTTAGTATAAATCTATTGGTCGTTCAAAACTTTATCTAAATCCTCCTCACAGACACTTTGAAAACGCAAAGAAGCGGCCCTTATATTCATAACAAGCGCACACTGCTAGGCTACTCATTATATACAACAGAATAGATAGTGAGTAGCGCAGCCAATCAGCGAACAGCATTCGTGATAGAACGCTAGTAGATTTATGCTAAAATGGTTAGTTGCCAAGGCAATAACAGAAGTGGCCTGTTCCTACTCTTATAACCTTCTCGCTGAACCTGCTGCTGACAGATCTTTTTCGCGATTCTTATCAATAAACAGTACACAAGGACTCTGAAAAAAAAGGCCTGATCGACAAAAATTCTATATTTTCGGTATTTCGACGATTAAAATATTAGATAAATTACGGATCGGAGTATTCGTCCAGAGTATAAAAGCTAGGTCAAAATGAATTTGAAGACAAGCAATTGACGTTACTAGTGGTACTAGATGTTTCACTTGAAATCCCTATTCTATTTTCCCAAGAACTCGCTTGTCGTTCAGTGTTCAAATCCTAGCACACGCAACTAGGAAGTCTTGACGTGATCAATAAAAGACTAACAATGTTAAAACTCTAANAATAACATTTAAAACCAAGACAAAGTAAGTTATACTTACTGCTCCATCCTTAATAAATGAGTCACAAAGTTTGGCAATTTTCTGTCTGGCTGAGGCTGCTCTCTTGAGGTACAACTGCCCTGATCAAAATAAAAAGAATCCAGATGGTTGTAACATAACTGAATACTTTAAAGAAAAGTCAGGAAATATGAAACAATATTGGTGGCCCCTACCTCTCTCAACCAGCACTCTCTTGCATTCTTGAAAGTCCTGTAATGAAAAGAAACATACTCACTTTCAGTGTAACAATTATAACAAATTCTTACAATATTTTGTTATCATGGCACATGACTTTGACCAAATTTGTAGGATTTTTTACTAAGAACCTCTATCAAGTAAACAATGAATGATTATATTTCTTGCTAAATAATAAAACCCCAAAACTTGTTCTTTGCACAAGATGATAGTAAGGCTACATTCTACTACACCACCAACATTCCAGAATGATATAAATACATGTATATTGCTAAAAGATAACAAGTTTGATATGCATGCAGCTTAAACAGTTACGACATACTGGGTTGTCCAGAGAGGCAAGTGTTATAAATCTGAGAAACAGTTCACAACCAGATGATATTGAAGTAACAGAACCTTCTGTTCTGGTTAGCACTTCAATCACTTCTTTCAGATTCTCCCTCAGCTCAGACAATGTTTCAGCTATAAATATAAATGAAAAAATAAATAATCTGGTGAAGAGTATTATCTGCCCTTTCAATAACAAGGACCTGACATTGATACCTTTTGCTATAAGCATAGCATCTATTATGATCACTCTGTTTGAGCAAACACCAGCCATTACTAGAAATAAGGTAACTAGATATAAGAAATACGCTATGACCATAACATCTGCCATGAGATGATGAAGGGTACGAGAGTTAATCCCCCTGTAGGCCTTATTCCAACAGTTATCCCTCCATAAAGTCAGTTTTAGACATGGTACCTAATTCTTCCATGAATAATGTTACCAGCCATGTGGCGTAGATGTTTTCATAGAGGATGAAAATGGGTGTAAAGCCGCTTAGACTGTTCATCTGAGCAAATTCATGCCACAGGATTGGCTATTTCAGACCTTCCTGAGATTTCCGAAACCACAAAATTTAATGATCTTAAAAATAACTACCTAGGGAGGGATTTTCTTGTGAATAAAGATTATATGGAGGATNCCCGGAATACACGTTAGCTTGAAGATATGAAATGATATTTTACCCTCCCTGTCCTCGTTCATAAAATATTGTTCTTACCACTCGAAAATAAAAATTAGTATCTTCGCGCCGCCATGTAATATCTTCTATATATGTAACGGGCAGTTTCTGTGTGCCCTGATCTGCTGGTCACGAGTGCTGTTTTCTTTTCAGAACAGCAAGCTTACCCCCATTTTGATTCATGAATTCCAGCAGCGTTTGTATAGCGGCTACAGCCGTCGACATGCCCGGATCGTCAACCATGCACTTTTTAAAGAACGCTAGAGCCTCTGAGAATACAAAACAAATGAATAGTGAGTAACACTAACTCATTTGACTGCAAACAATCGTCAGCCAGCTGACCTTCGTTCTCCATCTTGTTTCGTTTTCTTTAAGAGGTATACCGCTGGAAAGCTCGATGGCTCACTACAATTTCCCTCCCCCTGGATGGGCTCCCTTGGGATCATGTTGTCACGCATTGACGTTGTCTTTCACATGCTACCCATGATAGCTTGGGCGTAGAGAATTCTTTTTTGACCGTATTCCTGTTAGGAGGGAGAGAAAATAAGGAAATTTTTTCATGCGGCCCACCCGAGTTCATGAAACGGCGAGTTTCGTGGATTATTGCGGCAATACCTGCCCATGGTAGTGCGAGAGGACTGAGCTGAGGATAAGGCGCTTTTACGATATACTTTGGTACTGATTTTACTGACTTACATTACTAGTGACTTGCAGAGTATGATGGAGAGGGAGTCGTCTTCGCTTCTTTATTTTTAAGCTCTCGTACGCGATCACTCAAACTAGTGTCTACTTCGTATAACACACAGACTAGGACTGTACACCAATCCCTAAGGAGCCACGAAATCAATTGCAAAATCGCATGGTTGGAGTCTGGTGGGAAAGTGAAGACAATGAACATTGTAGCTCCAGTTTTGTTTGCTTTCGTACTCCTTTCTTTCTTCTTCCTCCTTCATTCCTTTTTTAGCTCTCTACTGAATTTGTTCCTTTCTCCTTTCCTATCATCGTCCTTATCAGTTTCTTCTCACCTGGCCTTTATGCTTTCTTCCTCTTCCTTCTCGCTTTATTCCATCTACCGTTCTTCTCTCTCCACTACCTTTTTCCCTGTTTCCTTTCTTTCTTCAATCTTTTCTTTCTACTTCTTCTTCTTCTTGCCTTGTGACGACAGCAGATTTGTCCGCGTGACATCATTATCCGGCTTGTCGCGTCAAGAGACTTCTTCGTTGTAACTGATCGTCTGTTGAAGGTCAGGTCAGTGTTATTTGCATATATCTAATACATTTGGATTGAATAGTTGAGCTGTGTACACGAACCTGAGAAAACCTATCACTGCTTTCCAAGGACGGCGGGGGAGCTGAGAATCATTATTTTGAGTTGTCATAACAAAAGAGTTTTAAAATGTCGGCTGCGAAAGAAGATCCTACAGAGTTGGGAATAGAGAGGCCAAAATCGAGGAAATCGCACGAATTTGACGATATTTTGGACATGGTTGGAGGCTTTGGTCGTTATACATTCGCCCTGTATGCATTCATGTGTGTCATGTCCCTACCGATCGGCTTACAGCAACTCGTTCAAGTTTTCTACGGCGCCACTCCGAAGTATTCGTGTGTTTCCTTTTCATCTCCCAACAACGCCACTTGTTCAGAAACTACAAACTGCTGTCCCAACTGCGTCAAGTACGAATTCCAAGCTGGGATGACGAGCGCTGTAACCGAAGTAAGGATGATACTATAAAACATTGTCTTTCAATTTCCATACTGATCACTGAAACAATGGATTTTAATGAATACTAGATTTCAATTCTTCTTTAATATATGCTCGATGTTGGTTTAGTATAATAACCTGAAAGTTACTTTGAAAGTTGTAAACTCGATATCAGACCACATTTCTAGGATACCGCAAGGATTTGTGACTAATTATTATCGACGGTGCAGATCGAGTTACCATTTCCCGTTTCAGTTGTGGTTGAGTTGAGGTCCCCTGTTTTGTAAGTCAAATGAGTCTGTGAGTAGAGAGTCGATGAGTCATAGTTCAAACTGCACACCGGTTAACCAGAATAGCGTTTCGTTCAGCCATTCGTTCCGATTTAGGGTAAATAGCAGTTTAGGCTACCGTTCAGCCTGAATAACGCTCAGGTTAGCTTGTTAATGGTAATGCTTTTCCGGCGTATACTTGAAAGAGCTATCGATTCACGCGTGATTGATGACTCATTTGACTTATTGAGGTCTATTGATGTTTGCTTTACGTGAACTAAATGCGAGGCGGTTTGGGATCAGTGCAAAGTGGTCTGGTCCATGTAGCGAATTCGGGGGTCCGTCCGAAGGGGTAGTTGTTTGGACGGTTGCTATGGAAACCACTTCCTCAGCTAGGCCCTTTGCATCAAGGCACACTAATGAAAAGTCAGTGGGGTAAGAAGTAAGGTGTAGTAAAGGAAGAAGGAGGTGAGGAGACAGAGGAAGGCGTAGAGAACGAACGCAGCGATCTAGCAACAAGTCCTAAGCAGCCTGACCGCTGGTCCACCAATCATTAACAACTTCTTTCAACGAACTTGAGGCCGTTAAATGCTTTAGAAACTTTTCAGTTCTTAAGTCGTGTGACACAAATTTTCATTTCATGCAGGAAGATAGTTTTGAGATGCGTCGTATCAGGATCTTAGATCATTCGTTCTGTGGCAAACAGCGTTTCCTTATCGATTCATTTCCTTGTTGCGTTTGCTGTCACGTAGATTACCTCTCGTCTCTCACCGAGTAGAAAGAGAAGGGAATCTCTGTCTCGCAGGGTACTGTCACGCGAGGACTGTATATGAGATTAATCTTAATAAGGTTACTTTTCAATTGATAGTGGGGAATTCCTGCGTAACCTAACTTCCCAACTTCCTCTATATTGCAGAGTCAAAAACCACAAACAGTCATTTTTCGTTGGCTTTGCAAGCGTATGCATGTAGCCAAATATCTACAATATTAGGAGATAAAAGAGGTTTGGAAGAAGCAAGATTTTGAACACTTTTGAAAGTGAAATACCAACTAACCCCTGCCCCGCCAAAAAAAACATCGCTCCTTTGACAGTCACGCAAGAACAGAAAAACTTTTGATCACCTCTCCTTGCCCAGTGGACACTGGGTAGTGATTTCGTCCACCCAACCTGGCCCCTTTTACGTTTGAGATGCCATTTAGTAAAGACCTAGTTATTCTGTCAGTCACGACCCGAGTATCGTTCCACCAACTCATATAATTATATTCTTTTCTACCTGTTACTCATCCTAGTGGGATCTGATATGCAGCAGAAAACCTTTGAAGGCCATGACGCAGTCAATTTACATGGCGGGTCTGTTGGTGGGCTCAGTGGCCATTAGTACCCTGTCAGATCACTTTGGTCGAAAGATCAGTGTTTTCCTCAGTATATTTTTCATGGTGAGTAACAACTTCCACACCGAGGCACTTGCCTCAGTCATTGGTGCACGCCGGTTTTTGCCGGTTGTAGTCACCATAAACACCCGTGATACCCAGGAATAGAATTTTTTTTTTAGAATTAACCATGGAAATTGCATCAGTCATATTTTTTTCTGGCTACTGAGTAGTACGTTCACTTTTGTTTTTCCATTGTTTGTTTGTTTTTATGTGTTTTTTAGGCACTGACTAGCTGATCAGGGAAAACTTAGTATATTTTGTATTTCGACCAGTTTTGAGATTGCATACACCATTTTAACTCTTAACCATAGCTAACGAGCACGCAATGAGCTCAGGGATAGATAGGTCTCTTCTTGTTATGCTCGTTATGATAGTTGATAGACCCTCTAAACAGTTGCTGAATGTCATATTTGGGTGCTGTCTATTAGTGGAGAGAGCTTAATAATCGAAGTGGAGTGCACTTAAGTGAAACCAGGCTAATTAGGGGCGAGGGGAGCTGGTAAGAGAATGAGGCCTCATGTCAGTTCAGGCTAGCCTTGCTGCTGTTTTCTTGCGCTCGAGCTTCGTTGTTCTGGAAAAGGGTTTCTGCGGGTACTCTGGTTGCAGCGCATGCATGGTTAGCACGGATTGAATCTTATTTGTAGTTTCACTCTAGCAGTGTTAAAGAACTACTAAATCCCGAAAGAATCTTTACTATCATGCATTGTGTTATTTTTCAGGCGGTTTGTGGAACAGTGTCGGCTGTATCGGATTGCCTTTCCTTGTTTTCGTTGTTCCGTTTCGGAGCTGGTGTGGCCACGGCGGGCTGTCTTCTCGTTCGATTTGTCTATTGCATGGAGATCATTCACATCAACTCGCGGACTGCCGCAGGAATAGTTAATAACATCTTTGTTAGTATTGGTTTTTCGACCCTGTCTCTACTGGGTTATTTCATACGTGATTGGAGATATCTAATGCTGGCTGTGTCTATACCTGGTGCGCCATTGCTGCTCTGTTGGTGGTAAGTACTTTTTCTTTCCTTGATTGGATAATGCTCCTTGCCTGGAGATTATTTTGGATGCTTTTCCTTTTCAGTAAACCCTATCCTCATTCTATTAAACAATTAGATTATGAGCTCGAGATTTCTTTCGCGAGATAGTTAATAATCTAATCGTTTTAGTATAAATCTATTGGTCGTTCAAAACTTTATCTAAATCCTCCTCACAGACACTTTGAAAACGCAAAGAAGCGGCCCTTATATTCATAACAAGCGCACACTGCTAGGCTACTCATTATATACAACAGAATAGATAGTGAGTAGCGCAGCCAATCAGCGAACAGCATTCGTGATAGAACGCTAGTAGATTTATGCTAAAATGGTTAGTTGCCAAGGCAATAACAGAAGTGGCCTGTTCCTACTCTTATAACCTTCTCGCTGAACCTGCTGCTGACAGATCTTTTTCGCGATTCTTATCAATAAACAGTACACAAGGACTCTGAAAAAAAAGGCCTGATCGACAAAAATTCTATATTTTCGGTATTTCGACGATTAAAATATTAGATAAATTACGGATCGGAGTATTCGTCCAGAGTATAAAAGCTAGGTCAAAATGAATTTGAAGACAAGCAATTGACGTTACTAGTGGTACTAGATGTTTCACTTGAAATCCCTATTCTATTTTCCCAAGAACTCGCTTGTCGTTCAGTGTTCAAATCCTAGCACACGCAACTAGGAAGTCTTGACGTGATCAATAAAAGACTAACAATGTTAAAACTCTAACAAAAGAATATGCTGAATTTCTTCTTTAAAGCAAGTGTATATTTTGTTTGAAGCTTGATACCTGAGTCTCCTCGCTGGTTGATTGCTAAAGATCGTCTGGACGAGGCTCACGAGCTGCTTATGAAATATGCCCGGAGAAATCGGGTTACTATTGAATCCACTCAGCTGAAACACGCAATACAGGAATTCAAAAAGGAAGAAGTTCGAAATCGCAAAGAAAACAGGAAAACTTATGGTATTCTGGACATGGTGAGAACTTCGAAGCTCAGGAAAAGAACTATAATCTGCGGATTTAACTGGTAAGTTGGTGCTTTGTAATTAATACAACAAATTGTTGCATGAGAAACGGTGAGTTACTGAAGTCCCGTCCACGTTTTCGAAACGACGCGTCTTCCATGTTGCGTTTTGCGCCGAAAAAACATCAGAAGTTTGGATCAACGTCAGCAGCTGGCCATGGGTAAAGCATCCTAGCACCCCGCATTTGAGCACGCGACGCGACGTCGGCGTTTTCGAACGTAACGCTGCCAGTCAACACCATTACGATAGAACTCTACTCTGGATAGCGCGCGTTTTTAATGCGTTTTCGATGAAAATGATATGCGTTTTCTATCGTATTAGTGTGGACAATAGACAAAAACGTACGTCAAAAACACGCGTTTTCACAGGAAAATGCATTAACGTGGACAGAATTTCTGGTACTCGTGATAAAATAATTGTAATTGATAACCTTTCCAAGTCTCGACTGTTTTTATTGTAGGTTCGTGAACGCCTTAGTTTACTTTGGAATTAATTTGAACGTTGGGAATTTGGCGGGAGACATGTACCTGAACTTCTTCATCCTGTGTATTGTAGAAATTCCGGGGGCTTTGCTTCTCTGGTTTTTCATGTCAAGGTATTTTTAAAATTATCAATCTTTCATTGAATTATTGCTTTGGTTATGTTACTGTGTTCAACGGTTAATAGTCACTGGTAAACTCTGAAATACAGAGAAAGGGTTTCTGTCAATGCATCATAAGGAGGGAGTCACTTTCAACTTCATTGTCAGTTGTGATTTGCGTGTGTATCGTGTTTTCATGTCTGTAAACAAGAGGTGGCGACATCTTCTGAAACCCCTGAATCACCTGTTAATGATTTTGACGTTTCACGGCTTTTTTTCGTCATAAATAAACTTAAGCACGTTAATTCCCCGTATGATACGCGCCTGCAGGGAATTTTTATCGTCTTGGACTGGATATTTGTTTTGATGAATACAACCGTGACTACCATAATTCCCTGCGGGTGCGTCTCATACAGGGAATAGACCAATTTCGATATATTCAAATTCAGCCTAAAACAATACACTTCAGCTCGAGGCTCCGGGGAATAACTACAGAGTTTGTGGAGTTTATTCCCCGGAGCCTCGTGCTGAGGTCTATTGTTTCAGGCTGAATTTTAATATATCGAAATTGGTCTATTAACCATTGATTATAGTTTCCAGTTCCTCTGCAATATCTCTACAGGCTCCCCACAGGGGCTCTGTCCCAGTTTTGGTTTATACCGATAGCTTGTGATAGCCCATTGAGTCAACCAATATTTACGGTCTATTAAATTAGCCGACTATAACAGCCTCCCGGGTAGTAATACAATGTTAAGTTAACGATAGTTTTGTATGGGAATTGGTTGAAATATTGTGTTCTCTTTTAAGATTTGGCCGTCGTATCCCGTACGCTACCTTCATGATCACTGGAGGTGTCGCAGAAATGTTGGCGCTGGCTGTTCCTTCTGATGATGGTCAGTAATCCAAAAATACGTATCCTTATCAAGATATCCTTATCCAACACTCAGGAACTCTCGGAACGCGTTATGCAGGCTAACTTTATGCTTGCAAACAACAATCTTACCAACTACACACATTATCACAATGCGTCAAGCAGCTGAGTGACACAGGGTTAAGGAAAATGGTTAACTATTCTTACGTCTCCCCAAGATAGTGTTTTTATTTAAAACCAGATTTCAGAAATAACATCGAAACAAACAATATTCAGAGCCTGTTGATGCAAATTCTCTTAGTCTGGAGTGAAGGTGAGAACGATTTTCTCAGTTTAACAGAGCAGTTTTCAATGTAGTGTCCAATCACACAGACATCCCAATGAACCAATTCAAACTCGAAGTAACTACGTGTAGCTGGCGCAAAGCGCGGGAAAAGGACTTTTCGTTTCAATTCTGATTAGACGACAACGTGGTGAAAGCTGATTTTAAACCCGTGAAGCCTTGTAATGCAAAACCAAACCAAATGTGAATGAGATTCGTTCTACGCAAGATGCAAGAATCTAAGCAATCCCCTTTTGTTTCCTCGCAGAGTATCAGGTCATAATCACGATCCTAGCTGTTGTTGGTAAAGCTTGCATCTTGGCGACCTTCCTGGGGATTTACGTGTTCACTGTGGAACTTTATCCTACAATAATCAGGTGAGTTATGGTACAGCAGTAAGGTGGAATCACCAGAACTAGACTAGGTTTAAAAAAGTCACGTTCCTAATTTGTATTTTGCCTAAGATTTAAATTCATTCAGAGTAAAAGGACAATTTTCTTAAGCTGCGTCTCGACAAAGTTTAAACCCTCATAAGCCGTTCTTTTCTCTGATTTTCACCCCGTTAAGGGCCAACGGGGAAGTGGGCAGATGTATTTTAAACTGAAACGGTTATATTGCTAGATGTCTGGATATTAGCCTCGTGTTTTTTGTGTGATCAAGACGCAAAACCAGAACTTGGCCAATACCCAGCCATCTTGACCAAACGAGCTTGGTTTATTACCCAGATATGCTTATTTATTGTTGTTGTTGCTGTTTTCTTGTTTTCGTTATAGGAACACTGGGATTGGTGTATGTTCTATGATGGCTCGTTTTGGCAGTATTGTAACACCATACATTGTCTTACTGGTCTGTATCATTAATTACTTATTTCTTTGATCTTAGTAGTCTGACAGGAAACAATGAAGTTGTTTAGCATAGCATCAACAAAAGGCCTCCTGTTTGTATCTAAACTTGTCACCAACCTTCTCTCACACTTTCTTCAGGACTGAGAACACCAAGTGTTTGTGTGTATCATTCTACCAATGTATTAAGTGTTTTTTCTATTTTATTTTATCCTAGTTATGTTATTTTATAACACTATTTCCTCAGGCTGATCTTCCCAATATGAGCAAAACGCTTCCGCTAGTCATATTTGGCGTTTTTGGAATTGTCGCGGGCATCATGGCCCTCTGGCTTCCAGAGACGCGCTACAGCCCCATGGCCCAGACCGTTGAACAAGCAGAGGCCTGGAGAGAAGACTACAAAATCTACTGCTGTAAGCGTTACCATACTGCAAAGGAAGATGGGAGCGTTGGTTTGATGGACAGGGAAGATGGAGACGAGGCTGAGCCGAGTCCGATACTGAAAGAGGCGCCAGCCCATGAAAGTAAATATGACACTGTTGTTTAGGTCAGCATGTAGGAAATTCAACAGTGACAGGAGAAGTTTCCTTGCAATGGTCAACTGATTAGCTATCGTTTTAACAAGGAATCGCGTTCACTTCTTACTGGAATCTTAAAATTCAAAGTTCCCATGAACTTAATTTTAAACGCTGGAGTTATTCCAAATAAAAGTGACAGTGTTACTATTTTAACTCCAGTTGCTAACAGTGTATGAAGAAGAATATTGCCATTGACACTGAGGCATACCATTTATTACGGCCTCATCAATTCAGTCGCATGCACGATTTCTTTTTCATACCTTTTCATGGATTGAAGGGCCTGTACATGTTAAAATGGTCTCACTTATTATTTTTTTTTTTATTCGAGCCTTATTCAAGAGCAATCTGATAAGTAGGTAACGTTGACTTAATCACAGTTTTACTTTTCTAACGGCTTTTTCAACAGTATCAGTTTCAATGTAAAAAAAAAGTGATGGATATAACCTCTTGATTTCAAATATTTTGATCCCTCTTCTTAACGATTTGTAATGTCCTCCACTTGCATTACTCTACTACTGTAGGAATTATCTCAACACTGACGTGAGTGGTTACCGAAGCAGTCAGTTTCTGTTTGCTGACACCCGATCAATGGTCGTCTGAGCCTAGCCTTAGTTTTTAGCTATCTTACAATATTTGACATCATGAATCTTCCAAAAAAAAAAGCGCGATTATAGAAAGGGAACGTAAAGCTGAAGATGCAGACGGCCACAAGAAGAGCCTTTGTATTTTATATTACTCTTCAGTTAATGATTGCAACTTTGATGTACGGAAAACTGCAATCTAGTCAGTCCTGGACTTCTGTCTTTGAATGTCTTACCTGACGCAAGAGATTTCCAAAATACAGCTTAAGTGTATATGAGTACTGATCTCAAGTATTCATTATGATGACTGCTAAAACAGGAAACTTTTAAGTCTACAACTGGCTTGACATTATTATCAAAGTTTGCATCTCATTCAAAATGATTTCTAAGCATATCTGACATTGTGAACTTATTAGGGCCATTTTTATGTTATTCCTTTTGAAGGTGTTTAACTAGAAGGTAAAATATAAGTATATCCAAGTTTAGCTGCTTTAGTTATGTGATGTAACTGATGGCTTATTAAAAAAAATTGGACTACTGGTCAATAGTTTGTTTTTTACTTGAGTGTCGAAAGTAGTTCGCATTTGCTGTAATAATGGGACGCATTTCAGCCCGGGCTGAAATATAAGACTGGGTGCCAAATATGAAATTGCGTGCGAAGATCAGAGTTACCGGAGAATCAAAATGACGTACAGGACACGAATTGTGAAAATGGGAGCATACAACATATGCTTCCCAGGTGATCTAGCCTCTTGTTTTGGCGATCAATTTTCAACCTTTTGAGATAGACTACTTCATTTTAAGACTAAAAGAGTAGCGGAGACCGCCTCACGCGCACCGGGGACTCTAAACTAAGTCATGATGGCGTTGGATTTCAGTGAAATGAAAAGAAGAAAAATATTTGAACGCTCAGTCTCGAGCTTCCAGGTTGAAATATAGCCCCACTTCATTTTAAGACTGAAAGAGTAGCGGAGACTGCCTTACGCGCATCCTGCTTTTGACCAACTTTGACTCGATTTCCAGGAACTTGGGGGATATTTGCCAGTACCGGGGACTCTAAACTAACTAGTGATGGCCTTGGTTTTCAGTGAAATGGACAGAGGAAAAATATTTGAACGCTCAGTTTCGAGCTTCTAGGCCGAAATATTGCCCCACTTCATATTAAGACTGAAAAAGTAGCCAAGACCGCCTTACGCGCAGCGTGATTTTGACAAGCCCTACATGCCACTTAGGCGTAAAAAGCATGAGTGAGTGAGTGAGTTGGGTCGATTTCCAGGAACTTGGGGGATAATTACCAGTCCCGGGGACTCTAAACTAATTCGTAATGGCCTTGGTTTTCAGTAAAATGGACAGAGGAAAAATATTTGAATGCTCGGTTTTGAACTTCTAGGCTTAAAATAAAGTGAGGCTATATTTCGGCCTAGAAGCACGAAACCGAGCGTGCGATCGTTTTACCTTTGTCTATTTCACCGAAAACTAAGGCCATCAAGAGTTAGTTTAGAGTCCCCGGGACTAAAAAATATCCCCCATGTTCCTGGATTTTGACCCAAAGTTGGTCAAAATCACGCTGCTCGTAAGGCAGTCCGGGCTACTTTTTCAGTCTTAAAATAAAGTGGTTTTTCTTCTGTCCATTTCACTGAGAACCAAGGCCATCACGAGTTAGTTTAGAGTCCTCAGGACTGGAAAATATCTCCCAAGTTCCTGCAAATCGACCCAAAGCTGGTCAAAATCAAGCTGCGCGTAAAGCGGTATCGGCTACTTTTTCAGTCCTAAAATAAAGTGGGGCTATATTTCGGCCTAGAAGCTTGAAACCGAGCGTTCAAATATTTTTCCTCTGTCCATTTCACTGAAAACCAAGGCCATCACAAGTTAGTTTAGAGTCCCTGGGACTGGAAAATACCCCCCAAGTTCTTGGAAATCGACCCAAAGTTGGGCAAAATCACGCTGTGCGTAAGGCGGTCTTGGCTACTTTTTCAGTCTTAAAATGAAGTGGGGACTGAAAAAGTAGCCCAGACCACCTTACGCGCAGCGTGATTTTGACCAACTTTGGATCGATTTCCAAGAACTTGGGGGATATTTTCCGGTCCCGGGGAAACTAAATTAACTCGTGATGGCCTTGGTTTTCGGTGAAATGGCTCGAGGTAAAACGATCGCACGTTTGGTTTCGAGCTTCTAGGCCGAAATATAGCCCAACTTCATTTTAAGACTAGAAAAGTAGCCGAGGGCGCCTTACGCGCAGCGCGATTTTGACCAAGTTTGGGCCTATTTCCAAGAACTTTGGGCATATTTTCCAGTCCCGGGGACTCTAAACTAACTCGTGATTGCCTTGGTTTTCGGTGAAATGGACAGAACTAACGCGATCGAACGCTGGGTTTCAGGCTTCTAGGCCGAAATATAGCCCTACGTAATTTTAGGACTGAAAAAGTAGCCCAGACCGCCTTACGCGTAGCCTAATTTTGACCAGCTTTGAGTTGATTTCCAGCAACCTGGGGTATATTTTGCCGTCCCAAGGACTCTAAAATAACTCGTGATGGCCTTGGTTTTCGGTGAAATGGACAGAGGTAAAACGATCGCACGCTCGGTTTCGAGCTTCTAGGCCGAAATATAACCCTACTTAATTTTAGGACTGAAATAGTAGCCGAGACCGCCTTACGCGCAGCGTGATTTTGACCAACTTTGGTTAATTTCCAGGAACTTGGGGGATATTTTCCAGTCCCGGAGACTCTAAACTAACTCCTGATGGCATTGGTTTTTAGTGAAATGGAGAGATAAAACAATTGCACGCCCGGTTTCGAGATTATAGGCCGAAATATAGCCCTTCTTCATTTTAAGATTGAAAAAGCAGTCTAGATTGCCTGACGCGCAGGGCGATTTTGAGCAACTTTGGGTCGATTTCCAGGAACTGGGGGTATATTCTCCAGTCCCACGGACTCTAACCTAACTCCTTATGGGCTTGGCTCTTGCTGAAATGGACAGAGGTAAAACGATCGCACGCTCGGTTTCCAGCTTCTGAGCCAAAATATAGCCCCACTTTATTTTAAAACTAATACAGTAGCCGAGACCACCTTACGTGCATCGTGATTTTGACCAACCTTGGCTCGATTTCTCGGAACTTGGAGGATATTTTTCAGCCCCGGGGACTCCAAACTAACCCCTGATGGCCTTGGTTTGGAGAGAAATGGACACAGGTAAAACGATCGCACGCTTGGTTTCCAGCTTCTAAGCCAAAATAGAGCACTTTTTCATTTTTCCACTATGGGTCGATTTCCAGGAGCTAGCGGGATCCAGTCCCGGTGACCCTAAACTAACTCGTGATGGCCTTGGTTTTCAGTGAAATGGAGAGAGGAAGAATATTCGAACGCTCGGTTTCGAGCTTCTAAGCCGAAATATAGCCCAACTTCACTTTAAGAGTGAGAAAAGGTAGCCGAGACCTTGTTACGCGCAGCGCGATTTTCACCATCTTTGGGTCGATTTCCAGGAGCTTACGGGATATTTTCCAGTCTCGAGGACTCAAGAGTAACTCGTGATTGGCTTGGTTTTCACTGAAACGGACAGAGGAAAAATATTTGAACGCTCGGTTTCGAGCTTCTAGGCCGAAACATAAACCCACTTCACTTTAGGAGTGAGAAAAGGTAGCCGAGACCGCCCTACGCGCAGGGCGATTTTCCCCAACTTAGTTTAGATTTGCAGAAACTTGCGGGATATTTTCCAGTCCCGGGGACTCTAATCTAACTCGTGATGGCCTTGGTTTTCAGTGAAATGGACAGAGGAAAAATATTTGAACGCTCGGTTTGAGCTTCTAGGCGAAAATATAGCCCCACTTCACTTTAAAAGCGAGAAAAGGTAGCCGAGACCGCCTTACGCGCAGAGCGATTTTCACCAACTTTGGGTCGATTTGCAGGAACTTGCGGGATATTTTCCAGTCCCCGCGACTCTAAACTAACTGGTGATGGCCTTGGTTTTCAGTGAAATGGACAGAGGTAAAATATTTCAACGCTCGCTTTCGAGCGTCTAGGCCGAAATATAGCCTCACTTCACTTTAAGAGTGAGAAAAGGTAACCGAGACCGCCTTACGCGCAGGGCCATTTTTACCAACTTTGGGTCGATTTCCAGGAACTCGCGGGATATTTTCCAGTCCCGGGGAATTTAAACTAACTCGTGATGGTCTTGGTTTTCAGTGAAATGGACAGAGGAAAAATATTTGAACGCTCGGTTTCGAGCTTTATAGCCCGAAATATAGCCCCACTTCACTTTAAGAGTGAGAAAAGGTAGGCGAGACCGCCTTACGCGCAGGGCCATTTTCACAAACTTTGGGTCGATTTGCAGGAACTTGCGGGATATTTTCCAGTCCC